TATGTGTATGTGTATGTAATGTAGCAAGATCGGCACGTTGACTGATTTTAATGATGATACTGCGTCTATTTTCATCTTTCACACATCACAAGCAAATCGACCCAGCATGAAGATGGTTTTACATGGTTGACTTTGTGATTCTTCACAAGTGTCTATTTTTCTGGTTGTTCTTTCAAAAATATATTGATATTCGATGTATTGTATTATGATACTACTTGATGAAGTTGGGCGGACGAAGAAACTACGCGAGATGGTATCAACCGTTTGAGCTCAAATCGAGCCCATGCCGGTGTCTCAGGGAGACTAAAAACAATCTAAAATGGTTGTCTCCATGGCTCTCTGGAACGAAGTTATGGCCATTTAACGAAATTTTGCATCAGCCTTTAGCTATATACGAAAAGGTCAAATGATGGAGTTTCGACCTGAAATTTCGCCGACAGATAAGTCTAATGGTGCGTAAAATGTCCTGAAAGTTTTAGCTCAAAAGAATTTATTTTGTCGAGACAGTGCATTACGAAAAAATAGCCCTTTGTCACAGACACGACACAAAAATCCAGTTTACTCGAAAGTTTAATATCTCGAAAAAGGAACACTTTTTCGAGCTAAAACTTTGAAGATATTGTAAGCACCGCTAGACCTATCTGTGGGCGAAATATCAGGTCGAAATTCCATCATTTGATTTTTCTATACATAGCTAAAAAGCGATGCACAATTTCGTAAAATGGTCATAACTTGGTTTCAAGGAGCCATGGAGAGAAATCTTTTTAGGTTTTTGTTACTCTCCCTGAGACATCAGCATGGACCCCATATGAGCTCAAACGCTTGGTGTCACCTCGGGTAGTTCCCTCATAAGAAAGAAACAAGTATTTGAAGACGAACGAGAGGCATTTGATGATACTACAGCATCAAAAACGATTTATCAGATGACAAATCATGCGAATAGATCGTTGGTATTGATAGAAGAGAAAATAAATTTCAAATACTAATTCTAAAAATCAAATGCATTTTAGTTTACTTGTTCGCTTGTTAAGATAAATCAATAATCAAAGTTCAATGTAAGAAACGATAAGGAAAGGAGGAAACAGAGAACAAGTGAGCTCATTGCTAATGGGTTGAAATAATGAATCAATCGATATATACTTCTTATTGCATGTGTAGAATAACGACGAATACGTTTTCACGGTCCTTCATCGCGCCCTGAAAAAATTCTCTACTTGGCCGAACCCATGTGTATCTACCCCACTCGCTTGAAGCGCGTAACCTTTTTATCCGCAGTCTCATCCGCTCTGGATCGCCCGTTGTCAAGCAATACTGATGCCCCGCCAGCCCCAAGTAGCTGAGAAATGTTCTTTCTCTGCTGGCCCATCACCACGTGGCCCCACGGATTGAAACGCTTGAATTGCACATATCTGATATATAGTATAATAGTGCACTCATCCGATGCAAAACGATCAGCATTGTTCATTGTGTTAGCTCATTTAGTTGTCAATATTGCGTTTAATTCAAATGAGTGCATGATTCTTTTTGCGTTGTGTAGGGTGAAAGTTATAAATGGGACTATTTTAAGAAATGTCTTTTACGAATGCGCATGTTTCCTATAAACTTTTTAGCATGGCAGATGGCGTCGAAAAGTCGTGGGCTGTTGTCTGTTTTCTCACGCAAGCTTATCAAGATTCAAAAAATTGTCAAGCTGAATTCATCTATGCAAAAGAGCAACGCAAGACTATTATCCCTGTCTATATGCAAAGCAATTGGAAACCGTCCGGCTGGCTCGATATCAGCTTAGCAGGTGCTTTATACATCAAGGGATCATCATCTGGCATCGGGTCAGTATGATGTTTGCAATCAATCGATCGCTAATATTCTGATCTAAATTCCAGATCCTTAACAACAGATATTGTTAAACGGCTACAAATGTCCGCATCGGATCAAGACACCGGAAATATGATAAATAATGGTAAAGTGCTTTCTCGATCTGTTTCCTATGAATTCTATTCTTAGCAGATCGAGCATGCGATTTTCAGAGAGCTTTATTAGCATACTGTACGATTAGAACTGTTCCAAGTTTTCATGAACGCAGCCAGACATATTAGTTTGTTGTTTGCGATTAATGTTCGAAGAATGATTTCTTATTTTACCAAATTACCAAAACAACAATTCAGCATTGGGTATCGTCAGGCTATGAGCACCTTGCACTGATGTACCCTAGCAACCTAAGACCATGAATGCAAAAAAATCCTTGTACGAGAAGTAGGCATGCATCGAACCGAACTATGGTTCGGTGTTTGGAACCGGATTTGATCTTATGATTCAGGTGAGGGTAAGGGTGAGGGAATGATCTAACAAACTTAGACAGCATCATGCATTCATGCAATGAGTCTTATTCACATTTCACTTACTGGCCACGAACATGTATAAAAATTGGTCACATACTAGCACATTCGTTGCTAAGGGCTATTCTTTCTCTTTCGTCTATCTATCTTTCTTTTTCTATCGCTTCGCTGATATAAGAACTATTCACTTACCATGTTTCTTTTCCCTCTCCATTGCTCTTTTATTTCTTTGACGCTGTCCTCTTTTCTAGTTCTTAAAAAAATGCTTAATATCGGATGTGGGTGCGGGTGTGGGTGGGTGTGGCTGTGGCTGTGGCTGTGGCTGTGGCTGTGGGTGTGGGTGTGGGTGGGTGTGCTGATGTGGGTGTGGGTGTGGGTGCGGGGCATTGATGAAGAAAGGAATCACACCCACATCCCACATCCCACATCCCACACATCCACACCTATGCCCACATCCCACACACCCACACCTACACCCACATCCCACATCCCACACACCCACACCTATACCCACATCCCACATCCCACACATCCACACCTATACCCACATCCCACATCCCACACACCCACACCTACACCCACATCCCACATCCCACACACCCACACCTATACCCACATCCCATATCCCACACACCCACACCTATACCCACACCCCACATCCAGACCCACACTCACACCCACACCCCACACCATCCAGTACATTAACTTTCGAGAAAATTCTGATTCAAATATTAAATTGAAAGCAAGAGAACTTATTAAGGGAATACAAATCAATCTTCAGCTTCTACAACAGAATCAACTCCATCATCAGCAAAGTTATTTGAAACGATCAGGCAAAAATATCTACGAGACAATCGAATTAAACGTATGGTGAATGAAGAAAAAAGTTTTCCGATTGAACAGAGTTACATTAATTTGGTTATGGTAGAAACCAAAGAGCAGCACGAAAAAGAGAAGAAACTAAAGCAACAAGATCAAAAGATGCAAGAAGAAGAAAGTGAACAGGTCCATAGTCAGAAACAGCACAATTATGAGATTATCGATACTTTTGAAGAGATTTATGGCGTTAAGACCTCACTTGATGTCGAGAACCTTTTCCAAAAATGCAAAGATCAAACAAAGAAAGTGCTCATACTTGGACGAGCCGGAATCGGGAAATCAACGTTTTGTCAATATGTTACTCACCGATGGGCGAAAGGTCAAATTTGGCCTGAATATAATCTGGTTGTTTTGATTCGGTTACGAAAGTTGACAGATAGTCGCTATCCACCAGTGAAAATTTACTCACCGGTTGATCTAATAGCGAAAGAATATTTTCCGTTCGATGACTTATCGAAGGACGACAGACAACGCTACAAAGAACAATGTAATAAAGGACAAGTTCTATGGATATTAGACGGTCATGATGAATTTGCCCAAAACATTTCAGAGCAACTAAAGGATGTGTTCAACCATGTACATGAGACACAACATCATATTGTAACATCTCGTCCTTATGCTATTGCATTGCCTTATGATTTGAAAATGGAAATAAGAGGATTCACAAATGATAATATTGCCAAGTATGTGGAGCAGTTCTTCAATCAGATTAAAGATGAAATAGCAAATTCTTCGTCCGAAAGTAAGAAGCTTATGCGCTTCTTAAAGTCAAATCCTAGCATTTGGGGTATTGCTCATATTCCTGTGAATCTAGAATCGATATGTAGTCTTTGGGCTGATACTGATTGGTCAGAGACTCCAACACTGACAATGACGGTGTTGTATGACAATATAACAGAATGGTTATGTCGATGACACCTAACAAGACAAAATATATATCACGAGCAGATGACAAAGCAAACTGTTTATAAAAAATGCAATATGGAGTTGCAATTTTTAGAACACTTGGCTTTCAAAGCCATGGAATACAACAAAATTATTTTGCAACCAGTGCTGCTCGAAGAGACAGAAAAACAAGCTGAGTGTTTCTTAGTCGATAATCCACAATTATTAAACATGGGCATTCTCAAATCATACGATGTAAAGCCTACTGGTGACAGAACTCAAACAAAGAAACAACATTATTTCGTTCACCTCAGCTTCCAAGAACATTTCGCAGCACGCTACTTACTCAAAATACTGGAAAGTTATAATAACCAGAACGCCATTGATTTTATCAACAATAACAAATATGGCCAATGCTTTCAACTCGTCTTTCTTTTCGCATCAGGTCTTCTCGCACAATCTAATTATCAATCATGTATGAAGCTATTTTGGACAACTATACATGAGGAGCCGTTAGATCTTGTTGGCCTCAAGCACATAAAATTGATCATTGAGTGCCTTGATCAGCTCGTAGACACGACAATATTTTCCGACCGCGCAGCTTACATAAAATCAATATCTCCCTGGTTAGTTAAATGCTTCAGTGAAACGCCAATCCTAATCACAAACAATCTTTTAGAATCTCTTGAACGTGCTCATGCTTTAGTTAGTACATCCATCATACAAAACAAATTTATTGAACTTCTTCAAACACAAGACGAACACACAAAACAAAGAATTTACACAGCCATCTCGAAAGTGACAATAACTAACCCTATCCCAAAACTACTATCAACTATTATCAATGCACTGCAGGATGAAGATTGGTATGTCCGACAGAAAGCATGCGAAGCCCTCGGAAACATGGGTGAAAAAGCAACAACGAATGAGGTGATCGCTGGTCTCCTCAATGCACTTCGGGATATAGATTGGTATGGTGTCCGACCGAAAGCGCGTGAAGCCCTCGGAAAAATGGGTGAAAAAGCAGCAACGAATGAGGTGATCACTAGTCTACTCAATGCACTTCCGGATGAAAATTCCGATGTCCGACGGACAGCATGTGAAGCCCTCGGACAAATTGGTGAAAAAGCGGCTACGAATGAGGTGATCGCTGGTCTGCTCAATGCACTTCAGGAGGAAAACTTCGATGTCCGACGGAAGACGAGTGAAGCCCTCGGAAAAATTGGTGAAAAAGCAGCAACGAATGAGATGATCGCTGGTCTTCTCGATGCACTTCGAGATGAAGATTCAGGTGTCCGACACATAGCATGTGAAGCCCTCGGGAAAATGGGTGAAAAAGCGGCAATGAATGAGGTGATTACTGGTCTGCTGACGGCACTTCGGGATGAAGATAGTCTTGTCCGACAGAGAGTGCAGCAAGCCCTCGAAATAGTGGGTGAAAAAGCGTCAACGAGTAAAATGATCGCTGGTCTGCGCAATGCACTTTACGATGAAGATCGGCGTGTCCGATGTATAGCATGTGAAGTCCTCGGAAAAATTGGTGAAAAAGCGGCAACGAATGAGGTGATCGCTGGCCTGTGCAATACACTTTACGATGAAGATTGGTATGTGCGGAAAAATGCATGTGAAGCCCTCGGAAACATGGGTGAAAAAGCAGCAACGAATGAAGTGATTGTTGGCCTGGTGAACGCATGTGGCGGCAAGGTGGATTTTTGGGACTATTGGACTACTAGAGCTTTGGTGCACGCGATATGTTCGTACTGTGCAATGAAAGAATTAGATTCCGGAATGATTTCGAAACTTTACTTATGTGTGAAACAAATAGAGTGGGATGAGTTGAGAGAAATATCTCCGGATCATTTCATCAAGATTTTCTTAGATACAGAAAATTATGCTTGGCTTCCATTGGTTGCATATGTTGCTTTATTGCAAGGTATCGCGATAACTGCCGTTGGTAGCAGTATGAAAATCTACGATACTAAACCGTTGACGGAGTTACCTGTATCTCAACCCGAATTGATGAAGGGTTTGGTAGAAGCTTGTAGGAGCCAGAAGATAGACATCGAAGGTCGGTGTATAGCAGTGGCTGGTGATTGAAGGAAAACGAGAGGATCACCATCAGTCGGCCAAATGTATGATATCACTCCGCAGTGATTTGTGCGTTTAAGTTTTTTTCTTGGTGTGAATCATCATGAGTTGATTTATTTTCAGTGGCTTTTATTGTTTGTAATGGCTCGAGTTTTCTAATAAAAAAATGTGTGATGACAATTGGGATTAACTAATAGTGGAGTTGAGGGCATCTACTAACAATTGTTACGGTTCTCCGCGAAAACAGCGTTCGTTTCTGTTATGATCAGAACGGGAGTTTGAATTGAGTGTTGGTATGTTTAGATCTTAATGATATCAAGCGCTTTGCGACGCGTTTCGATTGCTGTTTGCACAGTCATCATCAGGTAGGTTGGAAATCACAATGCTGCAGGGTGCCATAGAGAATGTGGTGAGTTAAGGGTACCCGAAGAAAGTACCCTGTTACCAGTATGTCACAGGAACTTTTCGGTACCAAAGTGTACTAGTGGGTACTTTCAAGTACCTAAGTGGTATTTTGACAGGTACCCTGCTAGAAAATGAGTAGTAACTGGATACTTGAAGACACTGATCAGATACTCAATCGGGCACTAATGTACAGTATTTCTTGGTACCCTGTTGCCAAAATTTCAGTATGTTCAGGATCGAACCTTACCTTTTGCCTTTTTTTCATTTTTGTTTCTCTGAAAACAATCTATTACATTTTTTTCGATTTTACTATATTTAAGTTTTTCAATTCCGAAAACTCAGTAGGTCAAATGTCGGGGTCTGACCGTAATTGAGTTAGTTCCATATCCATCAGATCACTTCAGATTACTCCACTCTTCATCTGCGATCAAGATTGGCATGCTCTCGACTAAGAAATAGTCAAGAAATAATCTAGAAAAAATTAGCATGAAAATAGATTAATTTGTTTTCTTTTGCCCAGTTGTTTATACGGAGCTGTGCGTGAATAAGAAAACGTGGAATGAACAGTCGCTACACAGAACGCAATAAATGTGGGGTACCCTGTAGAGTTTTCCTCAGTAAAATTACAGATGCGGGTATCCATACAAGTACTTGTTCTATAAGCGTACTTTTATGCGTACCACATGCAGTACCTACATCAGTATAATTACTTAGAATTTTCGAAGTACCCATATGGGGTGGGTGTGGGTGTTCTCTTGATCCAGCTTCACAAACACCCACACCAACTTCGGTGCTACAAATCATTTTAAACTCAAATTCTATCAGATACAGCAAACATAGATCGATTACCGATGCGCTAATAATGTTTTGGATAAAACTGAAATCTAATTTATCTTATAGTGAAATCGAAACACTCTTCAATTATGACTTATCTAGTGAAGATCGACGTAAACCTGTTTCAGAAGCTTGTGATGCAATTCAACATGCACTTTTAAATCATTTTGTTCCTCGATTCCTTGGTCTGGGTCACTTAAATCGTTCAACACTGCTCTCTCATTACACGTCTTATTCAAGAATTTTCTTTGGTGAAGGCACCTGCCTCATATGGGACGGCACCTACTTATATATCAACAAGAGTAGGGACCATCTGCTACAAAAGCAAACTTATTTTGGGCGGAAAAAACGTCATCTGGTGCAGATGATGTCAATTACATTTCCTGATCGATATGTTTCAGATACAATTGGACCATACGCTAGAACAGAAAATGATGCCACGATCGCTCAGCACATTACCCAAGTAAATGAACAATTGCAACAGTGGTGTGAGCCCGAGGATGTAGCAATTGTCGATCGAGGTTTCGATCGAGTTCAGGAAGTTTTGGAAGATATGGGACTAGTTGTAAGAATGCCGTCATTTTTTAAAGGCAAACAACACTCCACCGAGGAGGCTAACCAAGCAAGATTGGTAGCCAAGGTTCGCTGCGGCATAAAAGTGTATCATGCTCGGTTGAAAAAATTCACCTTCTTGCAACATACTATTCAAAATTCATTATTTGGCAAGAATGGTCCATATGTTAAAACCGTCACAGCGTCACTCAATTGTTTTCGATCACCGATTTTTAAATCAAGTGATCCAAAAAAAGAAGAAAAATTGGCGCGCATCATCATAGCACGTGTTAAAGCTAACAATCAACTACAAACAAGCGTACAAAAAGAGCATTGAATTCTCGGCGTAAATGAAAACAGATCGACGAAACTCAATTTGATTTTCCACGAATGACGGAAGACCAACTGCGGGAGATCTGCTTCGATATCTACCAGATCAAGCAAGCACGAACGTATGCTGAAGCTCATCTTAATAAAAACGATGAAGATTATCAACTGAAAGTCACGAAGCATAGCGATACTATCATCCGCTGTAAAATAGACAGTCGTCATTCAGGTGCAACACAATACTGCTGCTGGGTTGAGTACACAATGGACAATATATATTTAAGTGACTCAGATTCAGATGATGACAACAACGACCCTTTAGCTGCAAAATTTTACGAAAAACAACCAATTAAAGCTTGGTACTGTCAGTGCATCTCAGGAGCACGAACATGTGGGTGCTGCTCACATATTGCGTGTATTATTTGGATTATGGCTTTTGTGCGTCATCATAATTTTACTTATTCTTCGTTTAGAGAAAGCTATATGAACACTCTGACAAACATGGAAAATGATTGAGTTCAGTGCAGACAGGATTGTCCGATACTTAATATATTTCAGTAAACAGCACTAACCCAAAGACCCTCTTTAGGGTCAGCACTAGCACAACGGCAGTTGTAAGGTTCAAGTTAGGTATACTTTGAGTTTGAATGTATGGACAGAAAACAAAAGTACTTTCAAAAGCTTCATTACATGAAAAAATTTACTTTCTAAAATAGAATACGGAATAGTTTGAAAGAATTTATCATTCAGGCAATGCTAAAAGAGCATATGTTCAATGAAGTTTTGTTGCCTGATTCAATATTTATCATTACAATTGCACAGAAACAAACTCTAAGAAAAACAGATTAAAAAAAAATTCCTATTACTTGCCAGTTTGAGGAGTTTTTTAGCATGTCAGTTATAACTTTTTTCACTCCAAATATTTTGGTAAAATCTTTTCATATTTCTATTACTCCAATGTTCAGCAAGTTTTTCTGCAAATATCTCTTTGCGGCACGCATTTTCTGAGATCCGTGGGTCAATACGTAAAAATATGATTTTTCACAAATGCTACATTTTTACCAGGATTTTCCCTCTACGATTACAGACAAGTGTGATACATGAATTTAAAATATACGGTTTTGTAGAGAATTTAAAGCTCTATCGAATGCTATCTAAATGAAGTGCTCAGGCATCTTTGATTCATTGTTAGCAGACCATTTTTTATGAGCAGGTGTAAGCAATGACCAATGACACTATTTTTAATCATTCTCAGTTACTACAAAGGCTTAAGAAAAAATAAATATACATAAAGATAGCCCATTTAATTCTCTGCAAAGCCCATATCAAACAATCTCAAATATCAAAAAAAAATTTAACCGGCGGCATCCTTTATAAATTATGATTTATATAAAAGTTGTCTTTTGCTTTTGTGCTGTCGGAACAGGGAAGCGGTTTTTTTTTGAATTTTTCATTTATATTCGAACTCGAATAAGGCATCTACTTGATAAAACACAGGATCATCACCATTTTGGAACCTCTCCTTCTTCTATGCACTTGTATATCATTTGATTTTCTTCTGTGTTTGCCCTGAAGAACAGAACAATAATCAGATACAGAAAAGACTAATTTACTTACCTGTGTCAACATGAACTCTTATTAAGGGCAAATTTTTGCACACGATGATTATAATGATCGAGAACATAGAGATTTCCTTCAAGATCAAATGACAAATCAGTGGGTCCACTAAGTTGATCAGATTGCGAACCTTGGCCACAACTACCGATGATGATACTACCTGATTTAGCTCCACGTGGCCACCACATTAATCGATGATTATTAGTATCGGCCACATAAACAGTGTCAAACGCATCAACAATAACAGCGAGAGGGAATAATAAATGATTTGACTCGTGACCATGAGATCCACCAGCAACAATCGAAAATTGTGTTGTTCCTTCATCCACTTTTATCACTAGGTGATTATGCATGTCCGTCACATAGACCGATCGATTTCGATCAACAAACAATGCATTGGGTTGATTTAGTCCCGAAATGATCACTTGTCCAATCGTCTCACCAACACGCCATTTTTTCACTTCACTTGCGATCGAATCAGACACATAAAGTGATCCTTGATCATCTTGTGCTATACCTAACGTAGAGATATTTTCAATAATTGTTTCTCCATTTTGAGCATCTCGAGACCATCGTTGAATACGTCTATTACCATTGTCACTTATATACATTGTTTCATTTTTATCCAGTAAAACATTGGACGGTTCATTCAATTGATCGCTATGGTTTCCTTGCCCATGTCCACCTGCCACTAAATGTCCACTAGAGATGCCACGATACCATTTGACTACACGATGATTTTCCTAATCTGCAACATAAATGGTTTGATTTTCATCAACAGAGAGACCACGGGGATAATTCAACTGATTAACTGCAGACCCTTGACCATTGGCACCAGCCACACTAGTATCATTTTGAATCCATGTCGCTGTTGCAAAAATCCCATCACCAGGTCTCGGTGGTAAAGATGAAGCTAACTCAACGTAGAGGACGAAAGACATCTATTTGTAAATCAATTTGAAATTTGACATTATTTTATCACTATCTGAAAGATTGAGATTCGCGAATACTATATTTTTACAGGTGTCGACAATTTATATCACACTGGAAGATTTTTCTAGCAAAATGATACAAAGAGAAGTGAACATTGTTAAACGATTTCCATGACACAAATTAAGAATAAATCAATCCGAAATGTCACTATCAAGAGTCTTTTTCAAATGAATAAAAACTGTTCGTCAATCTGAGACACACAAATGTCATCTATCTTTTCAACTCAACTAGAATTTCTCTCCTACCGAACCCAAAAAATCCTATAGTTAGATCCCATGGAATTTCATAGTAGCCAATAAGAAATACAATAGATTCGTATAAGAAATGACAATTTCCCAGAAATTCTCACCGCTTCCTGTGAAAATGTTGTATCTCGGATCCCCATAGAAATGAATGAGATCGCATCTCATAGATTTCCACATTGGATTCCATAGTTTCGATGGTAGTTGAATTTTTTTGTTATCCATGGGAATCCATAAGAATTTCTTTCGCATCCCACAATTTTCCTGCTAGATCCTCCTCATCTACCGTCTTTCTCTTTCTCATCTGATTGATTCCAACATATATCCTTTCGATGCTCTACAAAATAAGGTTCCGCACAAAACCAAAAAAGATTCTTCGCTTGGGTACAAATCCGAAGCCACTTATTGGTTCTTTACGAAAATGAACTGTATCGATCCATCTTTTAAGTGTATCAAAAAATGTTTTGGTATAGAAAATAAGTAGAAAACTCTTGGTTCACTTACTTGATAATGGTGGACAGATTTGCCCGGTCATCGACAACGGATAACAAATAGAATGATTAAAACATCGAGGATGATGAACACAAATATGACCAGGCTGATAGCAAACATTGTTTGGAGGACCACATGCAACAAGTTGAGAACAAGCCAGCCAAAGAACACCACAAATGCCAGTATCATTAGCAGCTGTCATACGAAAACATCCACATGCACTATTCGTCGAACATTTATCATATTGACACATCCGATGACATATTTCAGAATTCACTCGAACTATCAAAGGACTAAACTAATAGATCAACATGTAAAACAAAATGAGAACCAAACCAGCGAGGCTAAAACGATAAATCGTTCAATGTTCGATGAATTGAAAAAAAAACAGAAATCAGAGTTACCTGATAAAAACGAATACGAAACAACAAATTGTTGTTGTAATCATAGCTTGCGTTTAAATGGGACAGTGATGATCGTATCTCTTTCTTTATTTCTAATGCACATGTAATGTTTTAAGACGTAATCTTCGCAAGTCAGTAATTACACAGTATCAACTTTCAATAAATAGAAACTCGATATTGCTTTTGCGATTTTTAACGGACTTAATTGTATTCTACCAAAAATGAGATTGTCATAGAAGAAAAAAAGAACGAGAGATCAACATTCGGATGGGTATGGGTGTGTGAATGTTGATCTAAGTGGAAAGAATGCTCACACACTCACATCCACATCTTGATGTGTCCCTGACACAAGAACAAAACGTTGTATGACCGCTTAGAACCGATTTCCTCCTATAAACACACCATGAGTTTGCAATCAATTGAAATTTTAAAGAAAAATAAAGAAACGGATGGCAATAGTTTTTGACGAATCATTTTATTTATTGTGAATAAGCTAACGAGGGAACTTCCCCAGGTGTTTAAGCCCTTTAGGTCCCATCTTTTGGCGATAGGTAGACCTCAATGAGGTATGAAAAACCTCAAGAGGATTCGTGCGCTAGCGTCTTTATTCCTGAGATATAGAATTTTCAAGATGCATACGAAAAGGGGCCGAAATGAAAAATGATCGTTTTTGGAGAACAGTAGAGTATTCAGGTGGAAATTTTTTAAAGTTTCGCGGACTGCTCGTGCAACCTGTTCTTGATTAAGAGTTAGATCATATCTTATCAGTACCACTTCTATTGGCTGTTCATCAGCCCACAGAACACCCAGAACTCTTCATTTCATATCTGATATCGTTATACACCAGAAAAAAATGATTGATGGAAGCGAATGATACACTATCGATTATTTTTTCGTTTTCCTCGGTAGCATACCAACATGTCTGGTTGATAAATATGGCATGCTCGTGTTCTTTGTTTACGTTTCTCTAGTTGCTTTCTCCTCTTGTTCTCTCTTTCATGTCGGATTCGTGCCACGAGGTCGTTTTTCTCTTCATTCGATTGTATACGATATACAAGTGACGTATAAGCAAGCAGCCGATATCAGTTTTTCTCACGTCTATTTCAAAATGATCAACCCAGCAAATGTCATGAAGATTTTCACTGATCGAGCATCGAACTTATTGTCTTCTATCGTGTCGAACAACGCGACCGCCACCACTACTATGACAAATCGTGAATGTGAAGTAGCCGAACTGTTGTGCGGTGTGCTCGAATCGATTACTAGCAGTCACTCCCACACCATCGAAATCGAAACAACTCTCGATCATGAGTCAGCCGATGACGAATCGATCAATGATGTCGAGTGCGAAGATACAGCTGAAGAAACATTGGATCCCAACTGGAATGATGAGGATGAAGATGAAGAGAGGGCGTTATGCAGACAATTTTCACTCGATTACATGACCAAGGCAGTCAATTTCTATGACGAAATTAATCCACAAACTGGAAAACGAAAGAGACGATGGGAGACAGTGAAAAATCACTTCCGACGTATCCCGCATCAAACCTATCTCGCTCGCTTTCGCCATTATCTTGAGAAACATGGGACGAAGAAACAGAAGCTCGACAAAATCGATGATTACGTATTTGATATGTTCGAACGGGCACGAGAGAAAGCTCTGCCAGTGCACGATATTGATCTACGTCGATGGGCTCTTAAAAAGGCTATGGATGAGTCTTTACACAATTTTGTCGCTTCAAATCATTGGCTGTACACCTTTAAACACAAACACAATATTATCTCGCGCAAGGTAACGAAGGTAAGAGATTTGTGATCAGTTTTTATGAATCTGTGAGAAGAAGCTCTGTCTTCAAAAATCAGATGAAAATGAAAAAAAGAGCCGTTTACGAGTTCCAGACTTCCCGGTTTTCGAGAATCGTTGGTTTCTTCAAAACTAATTGAGATCAAACTTACTGAGGTTATTTGTTCTTCATAGATTGTGACGAAGCGCCAAACAGAAAATCAGGAGACGATCAGAACTTTGGCCGATCAGTTCATAGCTGATGTTCGCAAACGTTTGCCCCAATATGAAGCCAGCGAAGTTATTAACACAGATCAAAGTGGCATCCAGCTCGAATTACACTCTACTCGAACATTAAGCCACAAAGGAGAGAAAGATACAATTGGATCCGTCCGCTCTATAAACTCTACTACCCACAGCTATACAGTGCAGCCAGCAATCGCACTCGATGGTCATCTCCTCTCGCCGCTTTACCTTTGCTTGAAGGAGCCCAAAGGACACATGAGCGAGAATATTCGCTCGCATCTTTTTAAGGCGTCGAATGTGGTGATCACCTGCAGCAGTTCTGGAAAGCTCACGACATCATTGGTCGAGTATTGGCGTGATCATGTTCTTCTCCCATCACTTGGCCATCGCAAGAAGTTTCTACTTATCTCGGACTGTTGGGGAGGACAGACATATGGAAAGGGGTTATACGATCATATTCCCGGGTGCATAAGACTTGAAATACCGAAGAAAACAACGGATCAAATTCAGCCATTAGATGTCTTTTTCAACAGGCAGATGAAAGTAATCCCTCGTCGGCTATACGATCGCGTGCTGCTCGACGAACTTGACATCAACATTAGCGAACGGAATAACATCATTCGCCTCGTGTCTCTCACTCATAACCAACTCTCTGCCGAAGTTTTTCGTCCGATGATCCAATACGCTTGGTACGCCAGTGGCTACATAGACAATCATCCAGGATCCTTTAAAACTGTGGCCGAAGTCTGTTTTTCCTTCGATGCAACAATATGCGCCGCGCCTTCATGCGATGCGGCTCCTTTTATTTGCTGCAGCTGGTGTGACAAACCACTATGTTTCAATCACTTTTTTCTGAAATATCATTTTCATTGATTCACTCTTGTGAGGACTTTTCTAGTGTATAACGATATCAGAAATGAAATGAAGAGTTCCGGGTGTTCTGTGGGCTGATGAACAGCCAATAGAAGTGGTACTGATAAGATATGATCTAACTCTTAATCCAGAACAGGTTGCACGAGCAGTGCGCGAAACTTCAAAAAATTTCCACCGGAATACTCTACTGTTCTCCAAAAACGATCATTTTTCATTTCGGCCCCTTTTCGTATGCATCTTGAAAATTCTATATCTCGGGAATAAAGGCGCGAGCGCACGAATCCTCTTGAGGTTTTTCATATCTCATTGAGGTCTACCTATCGTCAAAAGATGGGACCTAAAGGGCTTAAACACCTGGGGAAGTTCCCTCGTCAGTTTTCCTGAAAGGACCCGAAAATGTATCTGAGTCTTTAAAATAATTTTCCTGCAAGCCCAAATGCATAATACCAGAGATGACTCGTTGATAATTTTCCTTGGTACAGTTGCTATATATAGCACTCTTAATATGAATTATTCATTGTGTCGGGATAATAAAATCCAGCGATGTTGCCATTTGGCAACATCCGGCCGAAAAGGGACAAAAGTTTCAAAATTTATTTTTCTGTACGAATATTTAAATTAAGAGGTTTTACTACAGTTCTGTGAGTATATGCTATGTTTGGATAAGAAGTAGTCCTTTTATGACCGGATAATGACATACAATTATGTTTTTTTTTTCATAACAAACTTCGTAACACTTCGTATTATTTGAGAAAACCTCGAATTTATCAAAATAATATAGCTTTTCTCCGCTCTGTGAAAAAAGAACATCTTTTTCTATTTCTAAGTCTGTCTCCATTAGAGAATACTTGCGTCATCTATCACAAATAATATGTATTGATGAACACTTTTCTTTTTTTTTTTCGTTCTGTGTTCTATTCTCGGACGCTAGTATAAATGGATGATACATTCTTCACATCGCTTACATTTCGGTTTTCAAATTCTAAGTGTATACACATATATAATTTTTCGTCTTTATTTGTGATTGTAAATAATAAGAAAAATATTGTCGATTTAATATTTTGACTTTTATTCAGTAATGACTGCTAAAAGGTTAAGTATAAGAAATGCTGTTATTCCAAATGGTTTGAGCGAAGATGAGATTAACTCATCTGAATCTGAAGATGAAATGAGTAAAATGACACATGCTTTACGAAATGAATTGAATATGAGCGAAAATTCTTCAACAAGTGAAAGTGATAGCGATGAAAGCGAAGAGAATGAAAGTAAAGAAAGTAAAAGAAAAGAAAAGGTTGAAACTAATCAAAACTTGAAAAAGAAAAAAAGAATGCATTGGGTCAAAAAAGATTTTGTAGCTCCGACAGCTGACTTCGCTGACAACATGCCATCGCCACCTATTCATGATGAACTGGAACCAATTGATTATTTTTATATTATGTTCGGCAAGCAATCAACAACACTCTTGACAAATCAATCGAATCTATATTCTGTTCAAAAAGATCCCAACAAACCAGCACGTATTTCGGAAACAGAAATGGAACATTTCATTGGTATTTTGTTAATGACAGGTATTTATTCTTTTCCAGAACAACGTTATTTTTGGTCGAGCAATACACGTGTTGAATCTATATCTTCAGTCANAATATAGTATTTACTCTTTACTAAAGTAAAGTAAATATAGTATTTACTATTTACTAAAGTAAATAAAGTACTTACTCCCTCGACTGCAGGGAGGGATCATATGAAATACGATGCGATTGTCTGTGCTAGGATCTAAAGAACATCAGGGTAAAAAAACATTGTCTGAAAGAATATAAATCAGGATCGAGTAATCCAAATCTCAAGTGAGTTTTTCTAAAATTTTCAATTGAGCTTTTAGGGTCAATAGTAGGCTTTTTGGGGAAAAACACGATGTTTTATCCTCTTTCTCTTAGTGAAAAATCTAGTAAAACATAAATTGTTCTCTTTTTCGTAGAGGAGAGTTCAGTAAGTATAAATTGTTTGCTTGCTTGCTGGCTTGTGTGTTCGTACTTCACTCATTGTCAGGGCTGCCAAATCTCCTGACTTAGCCAGGAGACTCCTGATTTTTAGACTTTTCTCCTGGTGAAAAAATCTCCTGAATTCAGGAGCTGGTTTTTATGATTTTCTCCTGATTTCTCGTGGATTTTTAAGGGATTTTGTCACGTTGAATTGTAGTGATATTTTGCATTAATAAGACAAAGAAAAGGAGAACTATCACACTATTTCATACATGCAGTAGACAATAAGAAAATACGTCATTGCTGCTTGTTATGCCTGATAACATGTGTTTATTAGTGAGCTTATCTTCTTGACCGTTAAAATATACCTCATGAACAAAAACTAGTTTAGTTCGCTTTTTCTATATCAGCCTAGAATGTTATTTGTGAATTGACCTGGAGCCGCATGAAACTTTTGTGAGCCGACAATAGAAACGATTTGAAGTGCAATCTTATTGGTGCATAATTAGGAACTAAATGAATAATCATCTCAGTTGTACGAAATTCTATAATTATCCTTTAGATAATTCAGACCTATTGAAACAAATTCAGTCTTCATAAAAATATGGCCATGTTCATAAGTGGCGAAATATTTTGGATCTAGGGTAGGCTCAACAATTTTTTACAGGATTCGCACCAGAAAACTAAAAATATGGAGTAAGTCAATGTTTTTGATGTCACCTTGATGAAACAAAGTGAGTGTTTCTCTTTTTGAACTCGTATGTTGTAATGTATGACGCTGATAAAGATAAGAAAAGCATTTGCAACTTATGTGTCAAAAAAAGTGCATTTAAGAAAACATGTCAATGATTGCCTTTATTGACTTTCAACTCTCGCAAGAATTGTCTTCCATTTGATGTACTAAAAAACAAAATAAAGTCCAAGCAGCAGTGTTCACAAAAACGACACTACATTATGAATATTTTTACTGTGTTGAAAAGATTTTGTTCTGCATGAATATTTTTCTATACTTGTCGTTTTCTGGCTTCATTTCTTATGACGACGGGAACTCCAATAAATATTGGTGTTCCCGTATTTTTTCTCGTATTTGCATATAGATTCAGATACATGTATGTAGCAGCTTCTTATTTTTACGTAATTAACCTACTGTACCTCCAATCATAATTATATTTTGAATTTGAAGTCGTGTCACAGCTATCTTAAAATTTAAAAATAAAATCGGAATATGACTTCCTGAAGTCTTACGATTAAATCAACGAGCTGAGTCGGCGCTGTCGGCGGGACAAAAAATTAACAGTTTTGAAAATTTTTCGACGCCTGAAAGCACTTTTTGACGATGTTTCTGTCTAGTTGTTTTTATCAGTGTGTTCTCTACCATTGTTTTCTGTTTTTCAATTCGATAATTTCTCGGAAATAAGAAAACCTTGAAGAAATCGTCCAATAAATTCACTCGCTTCCACTGACAGACTAAAAGAGTTGAGTATTTTCAGTTGCTGCCGAAAAATAAAAAAATAAAATCCCACTTACACACCACCAATCTATGAACCGGTTTACGCTTCTGCTTACGGAAGTGGAAATCAATTTTTTTCTTGGAACTAGAGTGTAAGAACAAGAATAACAATTGTTTTTCCGAGAAAGAGAATATAAGGGCGAGAATAACAAATTTTTTCTGAGAACAGAAACAATAATCGACAAAATTTGCTCTCATAATACTAATGATCGGGTAACGTAAACTTAGTCGTTAAAAATGATGAAAGTCTTTGGGAGCTACTGACTGATATGATTCAGATTTTTTATGCAGTACTTCGTCACTTTTAACGAAAGAACCCCACTTCAAATCATGCTTAACCGAAGATTTGACATTTATCCAAACAAAACTAAAAGTTGTCTGAAAAACACTTTCTAGGTCTGTTCAATAAATGTTACCATTTGTTGCCGATCGCGACAAAAAAATCTTCGCGTCTGTATAATTCTATTATGTACTGCACAAACCTTTCAATTTGACGTCGCAGAAAACAATTATTGGGGCATACTATAGTCTATGACATCTGCACCTAAGATAAGGTTTTAGTCTACTCAAGCCGTGTGATTCCATAATCTACCTATGGATGCTATCTAAGCCTTCATTTATTCCATTAACGAGCCTACCTAAGCCTTTAGCTGTCGAACCTAGTGTAGGCTCGAGCATATTCAAGACTTGTGACCCCTCCGTTCATGGTCATGTTACAAAAGTGATATGAACGATATAGTTGATAAGTTATTGTTTATGTATGCCCATTTTGTTTAATTGCACATTAATGTCTAATTAAACTCCATTTTCTATTATGCCGGTATATTTTGATAAGCGACTGTGAAATGATTAGTAAAATAAATTCCACATAATTATGCTTTTTCAAAAAATATAAATCACTTAGAAAATTTTGTCATCAGTAACTTAGCTAGGGGTGCATCGGTGACGATTAATCGTTCACCGTTCTATCGTAGTTACCGAACAACGGTGAAACGATCAACCGGTGAAACGATCCCCGGCTACACCGACCAACCGGTGAAACGATCCCCGGCTACACCGACCAACCGGTGAAACGATCCCCGGGTACACCGACCAACCGGTGAAACGNCCAACTCTACTCCGAGTGAACTTAACTCCGCTCCAACTCTACTTATAGATTAATAAATTTAACTCCAACTCCACTCCAACTCCACTCCGAGTCAACTTAACTCCACTCCAACTCCACCTATAAATTAATAAAATCAACTCCAACTCCACTCCAACTCTAGTGAAAAAAAGTGGCAACTCCGGAGTTAACTCCAACTCCGAGTTGGAGTTGCCCATCTCTGAATAAGACAAAGAAAAAGAGAACTATCACACTATTTCATAGATGCAATAGACAATAAGAAAACACGTCGTTTCTACTTGTTATGCCTGATTACATGCGTTTATTTGTGAGCTTATCTTCTTGAGGGTTAAAATGTACCTCATGGACAAAAACTAGTTGAGTTCGTTTTTTCTATATCAACCTAGAATGCTATTTGTGAATTGACCTTCAGCCACATGAAACTTTTGTAGGCTGACAATAGAAACGATTTGAAGTGCAATCTTATTGGTGCATAATGAGGAATTAAATGAATAATCATCTCAGTTGTACAAAGTTCTATAGTTATCCTTTAAATAATTCAGACCTATTAAAACAAATTCCGTCTTCAGAAAAATATGGCCATGTTCATAGGTGGCAAAACGTTTTGGATCTAGGGTAGGCTCAACAATTTTTTGCAGAATTCGCGCCAGAAAATTAAAAATATGGAGTAAGCCAATTTTTTTTATGTCATCTTGATGAAACAAAGTTAGTGTTTCTCATTTCGAACTCGTTTGTTGTAATGTATGACGCTGATAGAGATAAGAAAATCATTTGCAACTTATGTGTCAAAAAACGTGCATTTAAGAAAACATGTCGATGATTATCTTCATTGACTTTCAACTCTCGCAAGAATTGTTTTCCATCTGCTGTGCTAAAAAACAAAATAATGTTCAAGCAGCAATGTTCACAAAAACGACATTACATTATGAATGTTTTTACTGTGTTGAAAAGATTTTGTTCTGCAGGAATATTTTTCTATACTCGTCGTCTTCTCGCTCCATGTCTTATGGCAACGGGAACTCCATTAAGTATTGGTGTTCCCGCATTTTTTCTCGTATTTACATACATATTCAGATACATGTATGTAGCAGCTTTTTATTTTTACGTAACTAACCTACCGTAGCTCCAATTATAATTATATTTTTAATTTGAAGTCGTGTCACGGTTATCTTAAAATCTAAAAATAAAATAGGAATATGAATTCCTGAAGTCTGACGATTAAATCGACGAGCTGAGTCGCCGTTGTTGGCGAGGCAAAAGAATTAACAGTTTTGAAGATTTTTCGACGCCTGAGATCACTTTTTAACGATGTTTCAGTCTAGTTTTTTTTATCAGTGTGTTCTCTACCATTGTTTTCTCTTTTTTCCATCCGATAATTTCTCGGAAATAAGAAAATCTTAAAGAAATCGTCCAACAAATTCACCCACCTCCGCCGACAGACTAAAAAAGTTGAGTATTTTCAGTCGCTGCCGAAAGATAAAAAATAAAATCCCATTTACACACCACCGATCTATGAACTGGTTGATGCTTCTGCTTACGGAAGTGGAAATAAATTTTTTTCTGGAAATGAGAGTGTAAGAACAAGAATAACAAGGTTTTTCCGAGAAAGAGAATATACGGGCGAGAACAACAAATTTTTTCTGAGAACAGAAACAATAATCGAGAAAAGTTGCTCTCATAACACTAATGATCGGGTAATGTAAACTTAGTCGCTAAAAATGATGAAAGTCTTTGGCAGCTACTAGCTGATATGATTCAGATTTTTTATGCAGTACTTCGTCACTTTTAACGAAAGAACTCCACTTTAAATCATGGCTGACCCAGGATTTGACATTTATCCATACAAAACTAAAAGTTTTCTCAAAAACAGTTTCTAGGTCTGCGTCAATAAATGTTACTATTTATTGCCAATAGCGACAACAAATCTTGGCGTCTGTACAAACTTTTTATGTACTGCACAAACCTATCAATTTGACGTAGTAGAAAACAATTATTGGAGCGTACCATAGTCTATGGAATCTGAACCTAAGATA